CCAGTTCCGGTGTCCCTGAATAGCAGTGTTGTAAGACCAACAACCAACAATCAACACGGCCTTGTTGCTTTGCCACGCGAGATTTTACGGAATGTTTTGAAAGAATCGTAAGCAACATTTTACAGGGTGATAAAATGCTGCATTTTTTCTAGTTTGTTTACATATTTATTTTGATACCCTTAATCAAGGGTTCAATTTGTTCTTATTGGAATGAAAATGGCTTGGATGGAAGAATAACAAGGCCGAATTGTTTACAACCGACATGGGATGACAAAATGGCGCCGAATTGAACAAAGTTGTGGTTTTACCTTGTCGATGGTTAAACAGCTAGGATCTGCTTGAAACCTATTTAAAACTTGTTTAAAATGTGCTTGATACCATTATGTCTGAGCTGCCGTACATATTTGGAAGGATTTCAACGAGATTGGCGATAAACAGCGGAGTAAAGTGGAGAATTTGGCCAAATACGTCCATTTGCAGGAGGTAGGTACATTTCAAATTATTATTTCGGTCACAAAGTATTAATTATTTTACAGCAAAGCAGTGATAATATACTTAAATAAGTAACAATTATGTTTCTATAAAAAAGATTTAGGAAAAAAAGGTAATGTAGATCCACTGCCGTTTATCTGAATTTGTAAGCCACAAATTGACGTTTGACTATGAGTATTGATTGTATTTTGATCCGACAATAGTTTATCTTGACAACTTAATATAACCTTTACTCGTAGCACAGCTTGTAGACGGAAACGCCGGAAAGTTTTATTTGTAAAGGGTACTAAAGCATCGCAATTTAGTACTGTGTCTGGTTTTTACTCTGTTCTTATAAAAGCATACTAGTGACCACTTGGCTGTTTTATATCAGCTAATATCGAGTTTATATTTCATACAATTGTCCCTGTGCATCGCTGTCTTTGTATTTCTGTCTTTGTCGGGCTATAATATGTCATTTTGACTGCTTAACAGGATTTGTTTTGCATTAATACATCTCCAAATTCATTCTTGTCGTTGAATCCTCAATGCCGTAATAAAAAAGCAGTTTTAAAAGAACGTAAACATATTCATTCTGGTTAAAATAAACAACAGCTTTGGCTTTTTTAGTAAAATTCTTGAATTTTTCTCAAAACTGAGGGTATTTATGGTAATTTGGGTACAAATTGGCAGGAGCCTTATGGATAATAATAATATAATAATATAATAATAATCGTGACAGGGGAAAGGAACAGGACTCTCGTCCCAATTGACGCCTAACCCCTAAAAAGACGTTAAATATAAATACAGATAATGAACAGGTTATAACACATTAGTTATAACAACTTAGACTAGCTATGATTTGAATCGTGACTATAAAGGTACTGAACGTTTACACACTGCGACTTACCCACTATGCAGATTACAATTATTCAAAATCAATTTGGATAATTTGGGTAAAAATTGGCGGCTCATTAATATTCGATATTGCGCTATCGACAATTGGAGATCCACTATTCATGACAAATGTATGCCGAAACCTATACTCGCCTGGGCACAGGTGCCCCAGCGAGTAATAATCTGCCATTTTTGGTGGCAAATACTGCACAGCTGTGGATCATTATAGCTCTTCAACGTGCTCAAACAAAAGCAACAGCCGCAGTCACAGTACCACAGCCTTTCTCTGACGTCCAACCTGATACTCATGCAGGGTTTTCACTTCCGGAATCCCCCGAAGCCCGCTGGTTTATCTGAGTATCGATCAGGTTGCTTTGACGCCATGTTTGCTTTTAACTATTTTTAGTTTGCCAGCCAAAATGGCGGAAGTCAACAAATATGTGTTGTGATGTCACATGCAAGAGCCCAATATTGTCCATCGTTACGTATACTACTAGAACTCCATGTTGAAGATTCTATTTTTTAATTTCTTTAGGTTGATTGTATTGTTACCAGTGCAGGGGGCATTGAGGAAGATTTCATAAAATGTTTCGCACCAACATATATTGGGGATTTTACATTAAAAGGCTCTGCACTACGAGAGAAAGGACTGAATAGAATTGGGAATTTAATTGTACCTAACGATAACTATTGTGCGTTTGAAGATTGGTTGACTCCTATACTTGATCAGATGTTGCTTGAACAGAAAAAAGAGGTACAGACTGATGTCTTCTTTGCATGCTTAGCGTATGTTTACCCGATCGCAGTTTTTATTTATTTATTTATTAGGTTTTGTCGTCCAAATTGGAGGTCAAAAAAGCAGATGTACAGTTAGTAGTTTGCTGGTGCCAAATGTTATCCGTTCCTGATGAAATTTGGCATGCTCAATAGTCTATCATGTTTTGCGTGTTCCTTGTGGTTTCAGTGCAAATATTCTTTTGCTTTTTAAAAGAAATTATGAGCAAATTTTAAAATTTCATCTGGTCACGTGACCAGTCACGTTTTGCCGTTTACTCCACGACAGTGCGAGATTGAAACTCAAAATTTCTATATTTTTATTTAAAACATCATATTGGTTTTCCCGATTATTATCCCATTCGTACTTTAATTCTGGTAGCTGTAGTTATATGACGTCATCATGAAAATGTGCAAACGAACTGAAGCTATCACTTTGGAGAATACTGAGGAGAGAACGATAAAATATTCATTATAGGAAATAGGAATAAGAAGCCGATTTTGAATGACATAATATATATATACAGTATTTGCACTTTGTAAAAGCTCAATTCACATTATTTTGAGAAAGTTGCAAACTTTTTGCAACTTTGGTATGTATAATCGTGAGAATCTAAAACAGAAAAATTAGAAAGCACAATCAATTTAAATTGTCGTTTGCAAATAGATTAATTTTTAACTATAACCTATTCATATGATGTAAACTTTACTAATGTATTCTTAATATTTACTTGTAACATAAGATATGTATTTTTATCTTTTGATCTAATAAAAAGACTTTTGAATTGAATTTGAATTGAATCAACTGTGATCGTTGACATCATTTTATTTACATATCAAACAAACTGAAATATTTTGAAAAAAAGACAGATTTTGAAAAAGTAAATAGTAACTCATATAATTACAGATTTAAGAGTTCTTCCTAACGTGATCAACCCAAAATCCATTGCCGATGTCCTGTTCAGTGTGTGAGCCAAAAATTGAACACAAAATGTGCAGGAAATGTAATATGTATAGATAACCAGCTTTTCTTTTTATGTAGAAAATTAACTGGACTCCTTCAAAGCTAATAGACAGACTTGGCAAGGAAATAAATAACCCTGAATCTGTATATTATTGGTGCCATAAAGTAAGTTACACTGCGTGGATAACAAACGGAAATACCTGTAGATCTAGTTCTCGGGTTAGTATAAAGCGAATATTTAACAATTACTGAATCCGGTTGTCGCATGACATAAAAAGCGAAGTTTGTGTTATCAACTTCACCCGGAATTATTATTTACTTAAAAAGATAAAAAGACATCCGCACACGGCGGTTCAATTCGTCAGTTCTAGCTTGTTCCCATTGCAGAAAATCTTTCCTTTTTTCTTACATAAGGTGTTTCAAAACCTGCTTTCTTTTATTTCTTCTTTACTAGATATTTCAAAATTTGCTTCCCCTAAACCGAAGGAGGCGCCATATTATTTTGGTCGTGTTTCCACCTTTCTTATTCGTAGCATGACGTCATAACGTTGATATGTTTTACATATCAACGTTATGACGTCATAACGTTGATATGATTTTCTCATAGAGATTGTAAAAGAATAGAGTGGGATTTGCGGGAAAAATCGAGGGACAAATTGAAGCTTCCCGATGGGGGCAAATTACGCTATCTGATTGGCTAAAGTCTCGTTCACGGATGCAGAGTTAGATGGTTAAAGCAAGGACTAACAACTCAGAATCAACAAGAATACATGGACGTTAGTGCTGGAATGTTAGAAATGTTTAAATGTGGGGTTTTTTCGGTGTTAAAGAGCGGAGTTTATGCTTCGTTGACCTTCGGCACGTAAATTTTTTCTCATTTTCCATCATTCAAAACGGAAATCATCCTCATTTTTTTCCACAAGTGAAAGTAAAACAGGATTCAATATTTCAAAGCATTTGAATTTAAGCCACACGATAAAAAAAAAACGTTTCTTGGTTTTTGCACATGAATTTTGCCCCCATTAGCAAGCTTCAAAATGTCCCTTTCGTTTGACTAAATTTATCTCGCTATTCTTTTTTATAATCTCTATGGTTGATATGACGATCTCACTGTTGGCTGTTACTTAACCAGAAACCATGAACTCTTTTAGATGAATAGTAATATCTGTCTGTAAATTAAACAAATGTTCAAAAAGACTAAAATATAAACATGCAAAGAAGTTTTTAGGAGCATGCAACTCTGTCAATACAATGGTCCTTTGCTATGTCAGATTTTACCGAAAATTAATACTGTACAACCGGTAGAAAAGGTTGCGAATTCGTTGAAGTTACCGTTTACGCGGCGAATTAAATTATTTCGGATTCCAATGTTTCCTGATACTGGACTGGACTGGACTGGACGAAACCGAGATTATTTTCTAACCGATTTGTCACTGTGTGCACGGTTTACGTCTACTAACCGTGCTGTGTGTAATCGACAACTGGCACCATGGATAATTAAAAGCAACAATGGGAAAGCTGGTGCCAGCCGACCAACCTATTTAAAATTCGTCACGAATAATACGCCACCTTGGCTATATAGATCATCATTTTCTGGAAGGTTATATTGCAAATATTATATAGTTTTTCTGCGTTTTTCTTCGATTTCCCTAAATATATTTTCCACATCCATTCAAGTATAGTTATATCAAAATTCAAAATATCCTTTAAACCTGCCAGTGTCACGACAAAGTAAATGTTGGTCGTCTCAGTTTTAGATTTTTTACTTTTGTAGTCAGGAAATTGGCGTCGCAAAAACTACCGTTGATTTAATTAAAATTTTTGACGCGTGTTTCACCGTCTAATGCTTGAAATATTTCCTAAAAATGACTAACGATATTCAGATATCCCATCGTAGAGTGGCATGCTTATAAGTTGTGTTTACACATGTCACCACGCTTGCCTTTCAAGCTGGGAGACCCGGGTTCAATCCTTGGTCGGACCTCTACACAAGGTCTTAAAATAACTGAGGAGAAAGTGCTACCTTTACATCGACATGAGTAATATAAATGGTTAGAATTTGGTGTTTTCCCGGATAACGACGTTAAATCGTAGCTATCTCTTATCCCCTATCATTTGGGCAATAGCCTGTTGGAAATCCGCTCACCAATGGGTGAGAAAACTGAACAAGTGCATTTTTTGCTTAACTGTTCAGCTGTATTATTGCTAAACGTGCAATTGTTTTGGACTTGGTGGCGTCTCCCCCAATTTGATAATTATGTCATCATTTTGCGCACTGAAATCGTTTTCGTGGTCGTGAGTTTCTTATACAGTGATTTTATTATCCATGCTGGTACTAAAACGTTTTGGGCTGATGAAATCTGGTGAATCTGGAATCTTTCACTCTAGTGTAAACGGGACCTGAAACATTTAAATTTATCCACCGAATTTACCATGATAGATTTGGATGGTTATCAATCTCTTTTTAGAACCAAATTCCTGTATTCTGTCCTGCTATTACTGATGGTTCTATTGGGGACATATTATATTTGCATTCGTACAAGAACCCTGGGCTTATCTTGGATTTGGTTGAAGGTAGGCCGAATTGAAGATGTATATCGCTTGTTTTAGCAACTTTTCACCAAACATCTTAAGCAATGGCTTAGTAGGTTAAGGTGGCTCGATACAGTTTTCAAAAATTCAGGTGTTCAACACTTTGACATGTTCAAACTACGCATTTTTAGGATTTATTCAGCAGATGTTGGGGTTTTTATATATTTTGATTTCTCTACTTTCAAATTATATTAGTTTTAGTAACAGATAGTTCGTTGCTATGACGACATACGAGTACGAAATTCACTCCAAAATGGCCTATCGTCTCGTATAGTTGGAAAAAAAGCATGATGACCCCCAATTTTTTTTCGTGCATTATTTTACTTGGACGAAAAGCTAACAATTAGCAAAATATAAAAAAATTCCGTAATGCCATTTTTTTGGAAAATGCGAAAATGTCATATTCTTCGGTAAAATTTTTTTAGCATTACAGAATTTTTTTATTTTTTGTATAATGAAAGTTT